GCAGATGAAAACGCAGTTGCAAACAGAATGCAAAGGCAAATTTTAATTTAAATGCAAACGCAAAATTAATTGCAAACGCTGAAGCAAATGTAAAAGCAAGCGCCAATGTAAATACAAATGTAATGCAAACGCGATTGTCAAAGCAAATGCAAATGTAAATGCAACATAATGCAAAAATAAATGCAAATGCAAATCGAATATGATAGCAAATTCAAATACCGATGTAAATGCAATGCAAATGCAAATCAAATATGATAGCAATTACAAATACCAATGTAAACGCAATCGCAAAAGCATATGCAAATGTAAATGTAAATGCAAAAATAAGTGCAAATGCATATCAAATGTTTTTCCAATTGTGAATACCAACGTAGATGCAAATTCAAACGCCTATGCCACAGCTGGCGTATTACAAACGCAAATGTAAATACGCTCGCCAACGCTGATGCAAATGTGAATGCAAACGCAAATGCAAATGTAAATACAGAAATATATGCAAACGTAAATGTAAATAAAAACGCAAATGTTAAACACAAATCTAAATGCAAACGTAAACGCAATGCAAACGTCAATGTGTTTGAAAGTAAAAACGCTAATGCAAATGAAAATGTAAACGCGAGGAAATACGCAGAAGTGAATGAAAACGCTTATGCAAATGTAAATGCAAACGCATATGCAAATGCAAATGCTGATATAAGTGCAACTGCAAATGTAAATAGTACCGCAAATGCGAATATAAACGCCAAAGATGTGGGTGAAATGCAAATGTAAACGCTAACACAAATGCAAAACGCAAATCTAACTGCAAATTCAAACGCAAGTACAAATCACAAGCAAATGTGACTGCAAATGCAAAATAAACGCAAATGCAAATTCAAACGCAAGTGCAAATGCTAATGTGCATGCGAATACAAATCAAAATGCAAATGTTAATGTAAATGTGAATACGAGCGCAAATACAAATGCGAATGCAAAAGCAAAGGTTTGTTAAAAATTCACGTTAACCGTTTTACCGTTCAAGTTTTACAGTCAAACAATTACGTACTTACAAAATTTTCATCTTATCGTTATCTTTATCTTTATCTTATTTTATCTAAGTCTTACCGTTAAACAATTACGTACTTAAAAAATTTTCATCTTATTTTTGTCTTTATCTTATTTTATCTAAGTTTTACCGTTAAAAAATTACGTACTTACAAAATTTTCATCTTATTGTTATCCTTATCTTTATCTTATTTTAACGTAAGTATTGTTAAACAATTAAGTACTTACAAAATACTCATCTTATTGTTATCTTTATCTTTATCTCATTTTATCTAAATTTTACTGTTAAACAATTACGTACTTACAAAATTTTCATCTTGTTGTTATCTTTATCTTTATCTTATTTTACCTAAGTTTTACCGTTAAACAATTACGTGCTTACAAAATTTTCATCTTATTGTTATCTTTATCTTCATCTTATTTTATCTAAGTGTTACCGTTAAACAATTACGTACTTACAAAATTTTCATCTTATTGTTATCTTTATCTTTATCTTATTTGATCTAAGTTTTACCGTTAAACAATGAGGTACTTACAAAATTTTCATCTTATTGTTATCTTATTTTTATCTTATTTTATTGAAGTTTACCGTTAAACAATTACGTACTTACAAATTTTCATCTTATTGTTATCTTTATATTTATCTTATTTTATCTAAATGCTGATGCAATGCAGGTAAAAACGCAGTTGCAAACAGAATGCAAAGCAAATGCTAATTTAAATGCAAACGCAAACGCAAAGAAAATGTATTTTAAACGCGATCGCAAATGCAAATGTAAATGTAAGAGCGAATGCAAAATTAATTGCAAACGCAAATGCAAATATGGATGTAAACGCAAATGCAAATGTAAGTGCAAAAGCAAACGCATTCGTTAGCTGTCGCCAAAGTCATCAGTAACTTACTGCAAATGCATATGTGATTGCAATTGCTGACGCTAATATAAATGCAATCGCAAATGCGAGCACATTTAAATGTAAATGTAAACATGTATGTAAATGCAAATGCAAACGCCTATGCAACAGCTAACATGCCGGCAAACGCGAGTGCAAGCGTGAATGCAAATGTAAATACAGAAGCGTATGCGAATGTAAACGTGAATGAAACTGCAAATGTTGAACACAATTGTAAATGCAAACACAAATGCAAACGTAAGGGAAAATGCATTCTAAATATAAATGCAATCGCAAATGCATATGTACATCGCAAAAGCAAATGCAAATGCGAGAGCATATGCAACAGCCGGTGTAATTACGACATAGATGTAAATGTACGGGCAAACGCGTATGCAAATGTATATAAAAACAAAAATGCAATCCAAATGTCAATGTAAATGCGAACGTGCAAACTGTAAATGCAAATACAAATACAGATGAAAACGCAGTTGCAAACAGAATGCAAAGGCAAATGTTAATTTAAATGCAAACGCAAAATTAATTGCAAACGCTGAAGCAAATGTAAAAGCAAGCGCCAATGTAAATACAAATGTAAATGCAAACGCGATTGTCAAAGCAAATGCAAATGTAAATGCAAACATGATGCAAAAATAAATGCAAATGCAAATCAAATATGATAGCAAATTCAAATACCAATGTAAATGCAATGCAAATGCAAATCAAACATGATAGCAATTACAAATACCAATGTAAACGCAATCGCAAAAGCATATGCAAATGTAAATGTAAATGCAAAAATAAGTGCAAATGCATATCAAATGTTTTACCAATTGTGAATACCAACGTAGATGCAAATTCAAACGCCTATGCCACAGCTGACGTATTACAAACGCGAATGTAAATACGCTCGCCAATGCTGATGCAAATGTGAATGCAAACGCAAATGCAAATGTAAATACAGAAATGTATGCAAATGTAAATGTAAATAAAAACGCAAATGTTAAATACAAATCTAAATGCAAACGTAAACGCAATGCAAACGTCAATGTGTTTGAAAGTAAAAACGCTAATGCAAATGAAAATGTAAACGCGAGGAAATACGCAGAAGTGAATGAAAACGCTTATGCAAATGTAAATGCAAACGCATATGCAAATGCAAATGCTGATATAAGTGCAACTGCAAATGTAAATAGAAACGCAAATGCGAATATAAATGCCAAAGATGTGGGTGAAATGCAAATGTAAACGCTAACACAAATGCAAAACGCAAATCTAACTGCAAATTCTAACGCAAGTGCAAATCACAAGCAAATGTGGCTGCAAATGCAAAATAAACGCAAAAGTCAAGACGCAAATGCAAATTCAAACGCAAGTGCAAATGCTAATGTGCATGCGAATACAAATCAAAATGCAAATTTTAATGTAAATGTGAATACGAACGCAAATACAAATGCGAATGCAAAAGCAAAGGTTCGTTAGAAATTCACATTAACCGTTTTACCGTTCAAGTTTTACCGTCAAACAATTACGTACTCACAAAATTTTCATCTTATCGTTATCTTTATCTTTATCTTATTTTATCTAAGTCTTACCGTTAAACAATTACGTGCTTGCAAAATTTTCATCTTATTGTTATCTTTATCTTTATCTTATTGTTATCTTTATCTTTATCTTATTTTATCTGAGTTTTACCGTTAAACAATCACGTACTTACAAAATTTTCATCTTATCGTTATCTTTATCTTTATCTTATTGTTATCTTTATCTTTATCTTATTTTATCTGAGTTTTACCGTTAAACAATTACGTACTTACAACATTTTACAAATTGTTATCTTTATCTTATTTTATCTGAGTTTTACCGTTAAACAATTACGTACTTACAAAATTTTACAAATTGTTGTCTTTATCTTATTTTATCTAAGTTTTACCGTTAAAAAATAACGTACTTACAAAATTTTCATCTTATTGTTATCCTTATCTTTATCTTATTTTATCTAAGTTTTACCGTTAAACAATTACGTACTTACAAAGTACTCATCTTATTGTTATCTTTATATTTATCTCATTTTATCTAAATTTTACTGTTAAACAATCACGTACTTACAAAATTTTCATCTTGTTGTTATCTTTATCTTTATCTTATTTTATCTAAGTTTTACCGTTAAACAATTACGTGCTTACAAAATTTTCATCTTATTGTTATCTTTATCTTTATCTTATTTTATCTGTGTTACCGTTAAACAATTACGTACTTACAAAATTTTCATCTTATTGTTATCTTTATCTTTATCTAATTTGATCTAAGTTTTACCGTTAAACAATTAGGTACTTACAAAATTTTCATCTTATTGTTATCTTTATTTTTATCTTATTTTATTAAAGTTTTACCGTTAAACAATTACGTACTTACAAAATTTTCATCTTATTGTTATCTTTATATTTATCTTATTTTATCTAAGTTTTACCGCTAAACAATTACGTACTTACAAAATTTTCATCTTATAGTTATCTTTATCTTTATCTTATTTTATCTAAGTTTCACCGTTAAACAATTACATACTCAGACAATTTTTATCTTATAGTTATCTTCTTTTATTTATCTTTATCTTTTATTTATCTTTATCTTATTTTATTTAAGTTTTACCGTTTTTTACGTACTTACAATATTTCCATATTATTGTTATCTTTATCTTTATCTTATTTTGTCTAGGTTTTACCGTTAAACAATTACGTACTTACAAAAATTTCATCTTATTGTTATCTTCATCTTTATCTTATTTTATCTAAGTGTTACCATTAAACAATTACGTACTTACAAAATTTTCGCGGATGCGAATGTGAATGAAAAAACAATATTAATTTCGAAGGCCGATACTTATTTCTAAAATAAGTAAAGACACTTACGATTGTAGCGGCGGCAGCTTTATCATTCCATTGTTCCACGCGGATGCCGCGGCGTCGGCAAATCATATCGTCGCGATATAAACTTACAAACTAATTTTTGCTTCTTCAATCTTTTGAAATCAATTAGGTATTAGGTTTATATATTAAGTGGTTCAATTAATCAATTTTTATTTGTATTCCTTTAGATTTAGGCCATTTTTGAATGTTTGTTCGTAAATGTTTTAGTTATATATATTCCTCATTGAGTTCATTTTATGTTTAATTTAATTGTTATGATAATAAACTTTAATTTTTTTGTAATTTTTATTATATTTAACACGTATTTAATATTTGTTTTTTAAGGTTACAGCCATGCAAATAAATGCTTTTCTTTGTTTATACTTTATTGAAAATTTATAGACCAATAATTGTTGCTCAATCAATTTAAAGTAAAATGAAATTGCACAATGTAGGTAATTATATTTATAAAATGTTATATTTCACGCATTATCGCATTTATTTACTTGTATTTTTCACATTTGTTGCAGCAGAAATATATTTATTACTATTTTTATTATTATGACAAAACAATACACCCATATAACATTCTATTATTTTTTGTCACAAAATAATACTTATAATTATATACTTATAATTATAACTAGCCGACCTTATAATTATTACTTTTGTCACAAAATAATACAATTTTTTAATTAATGAGTATTTTTCTTTATGATATAATTTAGCAGTTATTAAATTCATAAATGAATACTTTTGTCACAAAACAATACTTTTTTTAATTAATGGGTATTTTTCTTTGTTGTATAAATTAGCCGATACCATATTCATAAATGAATACTTTTGTTCAAAACAATACTATTTTTTAATTAATGAGTATTTTTCTTTTTGATATAAATTAGCCGATACTGTATTCATAAATGAATACTTTCGTAACAAAACAATACTATTTTTTAATTAATGAGTATTTTTCTTTATGATATAATTTAGCCGATACTGTATTTATAAACGAATACTTTCGTCACAAAACAATACTATTTTTTAATTAATGAGTATTTTTTTTATGATATAAATTAGCCGATACTAAATCCATAAATGAATAATTTTCTCACAAAACAATACTATTTTTCAATTAATGTGTATTTTTATATATTTGATATAAATTAGCCGATAATGAATTCATAAATGAATACTTTCGTCACAAAACAACTCTATTTTTTAATTAATGTGTATTTTGTTTTATGATATAAATCAGCCGATACTAAATTCATAAATGAATACTTTTGTCTCAAAACAATACTATTTTCTAATTAATGAGTATTTTTCTCTATGATATAAATTAGCCAATACTGAATTCATAAATGAATACTTTTGTCACAAAACAATTCTATTTTTTAATTAATGAGTATTTTTCTTTATGATATAAATTAGCCTCTACTGAATTTATAAATGAATACTTTTATAACAAAATAATACTATTTTTTAATTAATGAGTATTTTTCTTTATGATATAAATTAGCCGATATTAAATTCATAAATGAATACTTTTGTCTCAAAACAATACTATTTTTTAATTAATGAGTATTTTTCTTTATGATATAAATTAGCCGATACTGTTTAGCCTGCTGAATGAATACTTTTGCCACAAAACAATACTATTTTTTGATAAATGAGTATTTTTTTATGATATAAATTAGCCGATACTAAATTCATAAACGAATACTTTTCTCACAAAACAATACTATTTTTTAATTTATGAGTATTTTTCTCTTTGATATAAATTAGCCGATACTGAATTCATAAATGAATACTTTTGTCACTAAACAATACTATTTTTTAATTCATCGGTATTTTTCTTTATGATATAAATTAGCCGATACTGAATTCATAAATGAATATTTTTGTCACTAAACAATACTATTTTTTAATTAATGAGTATTTTTCTTTACGTTATAAATTAGCCGATGCTGAATTCATAAATGAATACTTTTGTCATAAAACAATACTGATTTCTAATTATTGAGTATTTTTTGTTTTGATATAAATAGAATTTGAAATTAGTATCAAAGAATTATTGTTATAAACATCTCAAAATATTGAAAATAATGCTGATTTAACAGCATCAAATACGGGCGATAGGATTTATCATAATATTGTAATTCGATCTCTGTAGAGTTTTAGATCTCTCTTGCACTTGTTTGGTTTTAGTGAAAAGTACTCAATATTCGATACTGAGTAGTATCGATACTTTTGCCAAGATACTTTTTTGGAATCGATACTTTGCCTCGATTCTTTTTTCAGTACTCGGTATCGATACTTTGCTTTGGTACTTCCAACACTAAATGCAGATGCAAATACAGATGCAATTGCAAATGCAAGCAAATGTGCCTGCAGAACGCGGATGCAAATGCCGATAAAAAAGCAAATGTTAATGTAAAAGGGAACGCAAAAGCGGATGGGAGTGCAAACGCAAATGCAAACGCCTATGCAACAGCTAACGCAATTACAAACGCAAACGCAGATGCAAATGTAGATACAGAAGTGTATGCAAATATAAATGTAAATGAAATCGCAAAATTCAAACACAAATGTAAATGCAAATGTAAGTGCAAACGCATTTCCAAATATTAATGCAAACGCAACTGCAAATGTAAATGCAAATGCAAATGCAAATGTAGAAGCAAAAGTGGCTGAAAGTGAATGAAAATGAAAATGAAAAAGCGAATGCGAACGCAAACCCGAAGGCAAATGTAATAAATGTATTTCAAATGCAAATGCAAATGCTTTATGAATTTAGCAGATGTAGCAAAAGCAAAAGTAATTGCTAACGCAAATGCAAACATAAAAGCAGACGCTATTGCGAATATGAGTGCACTTGCAAGTGCGAAAGCAATGGCATTTCCAACAACTAAAGTAACTACAAAGGCAAATATAAATGCAAACGTGGATGCAGATGTAAATGCAAGCTGCAAGGCAAATGCGGCTGTAAATGCAAACACAAAGGCAAATGCAAATGCAAACAAATTTCTAAATATAAATGCAAACGCAAATGCACATGTAAACTCAGTTAATTTAAATGCGAACGCAAACGCGTATGTAGATGTAATTGCAAATGTATTTTAAATGCGATCGCAAAAGCAAATGTAAATGCAAGGGCGAAAGCAAAATAAATTTCAAATCGCAATTGCAAATATGAATGCACACGCAAATGCAAATACAAATGCAAGCTTTGGCAAATGCCTGCATTTCTAAATATAAATGCAAACGCAAATGCGTATGTAAATGCGAACGCAAAAGAAACTACGAATGTAAATATGATTGCAATAGCAATTGCAAATGAAGACACAATTTCAAATGCAAGCGCATACGCGACAGCTGGCGTAGTAACGAACACAGATGTAAATGTGCCTGCGACCGCGGATGCAAATGTAGATAAAAACACAAATGCAGTGCAAATGTTAATGTAAATGCGATCGCAAACACAGATTCAAATGCAAATGTAAATGCAAACGTGGATGCGGATGCAAGCACAGATGTGAATGTGCCTGCAGAACGCGGATGCAAATGCCGATAAAAAAGCAAATGTTAATGTAAAAGGGAACGCAAAAGCGGATGGGAGTGCAAACGCAAATGCAAACGCCTATGCAACAGCTAACGCAATTACAAACGCAAACGCAGATGCAAATGTAGATTGTAATGCAAATGCAGGCGCATACGCGACAGCTGGCGTAGTAACGAACACAGATGTAAATGTGCCTGCGACCGCGGATGCAAATGTAGATAAAAACACAAATGCAGTGCAAATGTTAATGTAAATGCGATCGCAAACACAGATTCAAATGCAAATGTAAATGCAAACGTGGATGCGGATGCAAGCATAGATGAAAATCTGTTCCAAACATAAATGTAAATGCAAATATTGATGTGAATGCGAACGCAAATGCGAAATTAATTGCAAAAATAAAAAATAAAAGCAAGCGCAAATGTATACACAAATGTAAATGCAAACGCGAATGCCAAGACAAATGCAAATAAAATGCAAGCACAATGCAAATGCAAGTGCAAATATGAATGCAAATGCAAATCAAACGTATCGCAGTTGCAAATGCCAATGTAAAAGCGATCGCAAATGCAAATGCAAATGGGATTAAAAATGCGAATGCAAATATTGATGAAAATGCAGGCGCAAACACAAATGCAAAGGCAAATGTTAATGTAAATGCAAACGCAAATGCAAAAGTAATTGCAAAAGCGGAAGTAATGTAGAAGCAAGTGCAAATGTAAATGCAAATGTAAATGTTTAAGCGAATTCAAATGTAAATGCAAACACAAAGCAAATGTAAATGCAAACATAAGAGCAAACGCATATCAAACGTGATTGCAATCGCAAATGCCAGTGTAAATCTAAATCAAACCGCTATGTGACATCTAACGTAATTGCAGTTGCAAACGTAAATGTGCTTGCCAATGAAAAACAAATGCATAATGCAAATACAAATTCAAACGCAATTGAAAATATAAAAGCAAACGCGAATGCAAATATAAATGCAAAAACAAATGCAATTGTTAATGAAAACGCGAGTGCAAATGCCAACGCAAATGCAGGTATAACTGCAGTTGTAATAAATTTATCTCAAATGCAAATGCAAATGCTAATGTAAATTTTAGATAGGATGCAAAAGTTATGGCTCACGCAAATCAAACATAAAAGCAGACGCAAATGTGAAAATGGATGCAAATGCAAGTGCAAAAGCAAATGCAATCGCGTTTGCTTTTTCATTTGCAATTGCGTTTGCATTTACATTTGCATTTGCGTTTGCTTTCGTGTTTGCATTTGCGTTTGAATTACGTTTGCAATTTTTTGCGTCTGCAATCACATTTGCTTATACGTTTGCTTTTACATTTGCAGTTGCATTGCCATTTATATTTGCGTTTGCGTTTACGTTTGTGTTGGCGTTCAGAGGTTTGTATTTGCATTTTTGTTTTGCATTTACTTTCGGATTTGCGTTTGCGTACACGTTTGCAGTAGACTTACATCTGCATTTGCTTGCATTTGCGTTTGCATTTACATTTGTATTAGCCCTTCCACTTACTTCTGCGTTTGTCCTCGTGTTTGCATTGACGTTTGAGTCCGTGTTTGCATTTGCGTTTGAATATGTGCTTCACATTTACATTCGGATTTGCGTTCGCATTTACATTTGCAGTGGACTTACACATGCGTTTGCATTCGCGTTTTGCATTTGCGATGTGTACATTCGCATCCTCGTTTGCGATCACGTACGCATTTGCGTTTATAGTTAAGTTAGCTGTGGCAAATGACTTTGCTTTTGCATTTGCATTTGTGCTTACATTTGCGTTTGTTCTGCATTTATATCCAAAATTAATCTTGGGAATTAAAACGCATTTGCAATTAATTTTGCTTTTGCTCTCGCATTTGCGATTGCATTTAAAATACATTAGCGATTTGCATTTGCATTCAGTTTGCAACTGTGTTTTTATTTGCATTTGCGTTTACACTCGCATCTGCTTTTGCGTTCGCATTTAGATTAACATTTGCATAGCATTTGCGTTTTCATCCACATTTGCAGCCACATTTACGCTTGCATTTGCATCCGCATTTGAAATTGCATACGCGTTTGCCTTTGCATTTAAATCGATATTTGCCTTTCGATTTTTTTTGCTACTTAGTTTACATATGCATTTACGTTTGCATTCATATTTAAAAATGCGTATGCACTTACATTTGCTTTTGTGTTTGCATTTACAACTGCATTTGCATTGCAGTTTGCGTTTACATCCGATCCACGTTCGCATTTACATTTGCGCTTGCGTTTGCGTTTAAACTAACATTCTTCCTTGCATATGCATTTTTATCTACATTTGCATATGCATTTGCGTTTGCATTTACATTGGCATTTGAAATAGCATTTACATTCGCATCCGCATTTGCAATCACGTTTGCCTCTGCGTTTGTAATTACGTTAGCTGTTGCAAATGCGTTTGCCTTTGCATTTGCATTTGTATTCATATTCGCATTTGCATCTGCATTTATGTTTGAATTTGAGTTTGCAATTGCTTTTGCATTCGCTCTTGAATTTACATTAGCATTTGCTATTATTTACAAATACATTTAATGCATTTATCTCTTCTTATCTTAAAACTTTTTATACTGGGTTAAAGATTTTTTGATTTAGAATATTTCGCCTAAGAACATCAATATCCTATGATGAATCGTTCAAAAGTTATGAGCGCTTAAATATTTCATGAGTAAAAAATGCTCAAAAATGGACGAAAAATTTGTTAGTTTTTTTAATTTTTCACAGACTTCGCGGGCACGTAGAAGCTTCGGTCGCACTTCAAATAGTTTTCGAGGAAAACGCATTTTTAATATGTGAGCAGGAGCGATTGGTTTTTAGCGAATATCTCGGGAACGGTTGGAGTTATCATAAAAATTTTTGCACCTGCAGATACATATTTTAAATGCGCATATTTCATTTATACACACCATGACCCTATGTTGAATATTTTCCGAGATGTAGGCGTTTAACTATTTCAAACTTAAAAATTTGAAACCGTTTTTGGCGTATATCTCGCGAACGGTAAGAGGTACCTTAAAACTTTTTATACTGGGTTAAAGATCTTTTGATTTAGAATAATTCGCCTAAGAACATCAATATCCTATGATGAATCGTTCAAAAGTTATGAGCGCTTAAAGATTTCATGGGTAAAAAATGCTCAAAAATGGATGAAAAATTTGTTAGTTTTTTTAATTTTTCACAGACTTCCCGGGCACGTAGAAGTTCTAATTAAACGTCAGGCGAATTGTCTTGTGGGCTAGAATAACGCGAAAAAAACTGCATTTTAATATTCTCAACGGTTGCCGATTAAATAAGAGAAAACTGAAATTATAGCATAACCCTATGGTTACGTATTGTATTCCGATTTTGGATAAAAATTTTTTGTTTCCGATTTTGATGATTTTTATATTGTTGATACCTTTTGATATAAGGAAAATGCTATTGAAAAATTTCGGTCGCACTTCAAATAGTTTTCGAGGAAAACGCATTTTTAATATGTGACCAGGAGCGATTGGTTTTTAGCGAATACCTCGGGAACGGTTGGAGTTATCATAAAAATTCTTGCACCTGCAGATACATATTTTAAATGCGCATATTTCGTTCATATACACCATGACCCTGTATTGGATATTTTCCGAGATATAGGCGTTTAACTATTTAAAACTAAAAAATTTGAAACCGTTTTCGGCGTATATTTCGCGAACTGTAAAAGGTATCTTAAAACCTTTTATACTGGGTTAAATATATATTTGATTTAGAATATTTCGCCTGAAAACATCAATATCCTATGATGAATCGTTCAAAAGTTATGAGCGCTTAAAAATTTCATGCGTAAAAAATGCTCAAAAATGGACGAAAAATTTGTTAGTTTTTTTAATTTTTCACAGACTTTCGGGGACGTGGAAGCTTCAATTAAACGTCAGGCGAATTGTCTTGTGGGCTAGAATAACGCGAAAAAAACCGCACTTTAATATTCTCAACGGTTGCCGAATAAATAAGAAAAAACTGAAATTATAGCATAACCCTATGGTTACGTATTGTATTCCGATTTTGGATAAAAATTTTTTGTTTCCGATTTTGATGATTTTTATAATGTTGATACATTATGATATAAGGAAAATGCTATTGAAAAATTTCGGTCGCACTTCAAATAGTTTTCGAGGAAAACGCATTTTTAATATGTGACCAGGAGCGATTGGTTTTTAGCGAATATCTCGGGAACGGTTGGAGTTATCATAAAAATTTTTGCCCCTGCAGATACATATTTTAAATGCACATATTTCATTCATACACAACATGACCCTATGTTGAATATTTA